CTTTCAAAAGTTTTTGAAAGCCAAGTTAACAAACAGATCACCGACCATTTCGAATCCCACCGTACCTTCTCCGCTATGCAATCCGGTTTCCGAGCTGGTCATGGGTGCACTTCAGCCACGCTCAAGGTCCTAAACGATATTATAACCGCGATCGATAATAGACAGTAGTGTGCAGCCGTTTTCATTGACCTGGCCAAGGCTTTCGACTCTGTCAACCACCGCATTCTTATTGGCAGACTAAATAGCCTTGGTTTCTCAAATGACTGCCTCGCCTGGTTCACCAACTACTTCTCAGATAGAGTTCAATGTGTCAAATCGGAGGGCCTGTTGTCTGGACCTATGGCAGTCTCTATGGGGGTGCCACAGGGTTCAATTCTTGGGCCGACTCTTTTCTCTGTGTATATCAATGATGTCGCTGTTGCTGCTGGTGACTCTCAGATCCACCTCTACGCAGACGACACCATTTTGTATACATCTGGCCCTTCATTGGACACTGTGTTAACAAACCTCCAAACGAGCTTCAATGCCATACAACACTCCTTCAGTAGCCTCCAACTGCTCTTAAACACTAGTAAAACTAAATGCATGCTCTTCAACCGAACGCTGCTTGCACCCGCCCACCCGACTAGAATCACTACTCTCGACGGGTCTGACCTAGAGTATGTGGACAACTACAAATACCTAGGTGTCTGGTTAGACTGTAAACTCTCCTTCCAGACTCACATTAAGAATCTCCAATCCAAAGTTAAATCTAGAATCGGTTTCCTACTTCGCAACAAAGCCTCCTTCACTCATGCTGCCAAACATGCCCTCGTAAAACTGACTATCCTACCGATCCTTGACTTCGGCGATGTCATTTACAAAATAGCCTCCAACACTCTACTCAGCAAATTGGATGTAGTCTATCACAGTGCCATCCGTTTTGTCTCCAAAGCCCCATATACTACCCACCACTGTGACCTGTACGCTCTTGTTGGCTGGTCCTCACTACATATTCGTCGCCAAACCCACTGGCTCCAGGCCATCTATAAATCACTGCTAGGCAAATCCCCGCCTTATCTTAGCTCATTGGTCACCATAGCAACACCCACCCGTAGTATGCGCTCCAGCAGGTATATCTCACTGGTCATCCCCAAAGCCAACACCTCCTTTGGCCGCCATTCCTTCCAGTTCTCTGCTGCCAATGACTGGAACAAATTGCAAAAATCTCTGAAGCTGGAGACGCTTATCTCCCTCACTAACTTTAAGCATCAGTTGTCAGAGCACCTTACCGATCACTGCACCTGTACACAGCCCATCTGAAATTAGCCCGCCCAACTACCTCATCCCTATATTGTTATTTATTTTGCTCATTTGTACCCCAGTATCTCTATTTGCACATCATCTCTTGCACATCTATCATTCCAGTGTTAATACTAATTGTAATTATTTTGCACTATAGCCTATTTATTGCCTTACCTCCATAACTTGCTACATTTGCACACACTGTATATATATTTTTTTTTCTGTTGTATTTTTGACTTTGTTTTGTTTTACCCCATATGTAACTCTGTGTTGTTTTTATCGCACTGCTTTGCTTTATCTTGGCCAGGTCGCAGTTGTAAATGAGAACTTGTTCTCAACTGGCTTACCTGGTTAAATAAAGGTGAAATAAATAAACAAAATGCCCTCCTTGCCTGGTCCGCGAGTTTTGGTGGGCGGCCCTCTCTTGGCAGGTTTGTTGTGGTGCCATATTCTTTCAAATGTTTTGTAATGGATTTAATGGTGCACCGTGGGATGTTCAAAGTTTCGTATATTTTTTTATAACCCAACCCTGATCTGTACTTCTCCACGACTTTGTCCCTGACCTGTTTGGAGAGCTCCTTGGTCTTCATGATGCCGCTTGCTTGCTGGTGCCCCTTGCTTAGTGGTGTTGCAGACTCTGGGGCCTTTCAGAACAGGTGTATATATACTGAGATCATGTGACAGATCATGCGACACAGATTGCACAGAGGTGGACTTTATTTAACTAATTATGTGACTTCTGAAGGTAATTGGTTGCACCAGATCTTATTTAGGGACTTCATAGCAAAGGGGGTGAATACATATGCACGCACCACTTTTCCGTTATTTATTGTTTAGAATTTTTTTTAACAAGTTATATTTTTCATTTCACTTCACCAATTTGGACTATTTTGTGTATGTCCATTACATGAAATCGAAATCCATTTGAAATTGCAGGTTGTAATGCAACAAAATAGGAAAAACGCCAAGGGGGATGAACTTTTGCAAAGCACTGTACACACTCACTCAAACAAACTACACGCACACCTTTCCATAAAGATCATGGGGAGCCACTAGACATTGTGCCCTCGTCTGTCTTCTCTAACGCGCTCTCCCCCTTTCTCTCTCTCTCCTGTTACAGCATGTGCGTCTGCTCTCCCGAAAGCAGTTCCAGCTGCGAGCCCTCATGCAGAAAGCACGCAAGACCGCCGGCCTTAGTGACCTCTACTGAGCCCGCGGACACCCACACCCATACACACTCCCTTTCTCCCAGTCTCTCCCTCTGTACAGCTCCTCCTCTCTATATATGTCTTTCTGTCTCTCTCTCTCTGTCTGTCCTCCTCTCCTCTCTAAAAGACGTGCCCTAAAACTCTGAAAAGAGCTAACATCTAATTTGTATTGTTTGTTGATTCAAACATCCCCTAAACAAGCATCTAGTTGGATAACCAAAATGGAAAATATGCAGTTTGATATGGAGCAAATGTCTGCAAATATGCATTTTTTAAATTAATATTGGCAGCCATATGCTTCCATAGTCACAATGTTGGAGTGGTGTGAGGTGGGAGAGTATGTGCTCTGACATTCAGTGTGACAGTTCCTGGTGTGAGTTTGTGCTACTTATCTCTCTGTCCCGCTGTAAACGAAAGCTTACGCTCTGATATAAACATACGTCTCAACTAGGGATGTGCATCTCTCCTTTCATGAAAGATTCTAGATACATGGACTCTGATACGATACAGGAACGATGCCTTTTAGTTTGAAAAGATTCAGTGCGATTCGGTTTGATTAGGGGTGCGAATTGATGTGATTTGGTTAGATACGATACGCTTCGATGCACTAAAATGTTTTGCATGAACACATTCATTTTCCATCTTAAAGTAATATCCGCTGCTGTTGGGATGACTTCTCTAAGCTGAGTGGCCCTGTGTGTGTGTGTGTCAATGGTGTGTGTAGGCACCTGAGCTGAGCAATAGGGCAGACTGAGCATCTACCACCCCACTATCAGATTAGGGGTGTGGGGCAATTGTCCCGCCACTTTTTATCAGACATCACCATCACCCACTGATTAACTTGTCATTTTTGCAGATAAAAAATGTATGAGCTAGTACTATGTCAATATTTATCTTTAGAAATTAACATGGCATTTAGCCAATTAATATAATGTAGCTTTGGATTTTACCTTGTCTCAAAAGCAAATGGTTTGGACCGTTAATCGTCGCAAAAATGATTGCTGTCCATTATGAAGTTACCCTGTTCATTTAAAAATGACCAAATACACTGAATGTTTAAAGCAAAACTACCAACTGAACTGAAGGAGAGGACGCATCAATTGTCACAACAGATAAGAGGTATTTTTTAAATATAACAATATGGAGTAAAAAAAAACATTTGAACTTGTGATTTGAATCGGTTTTCTGACCAATTCCTGCTTAAATCGGTTTTCTGACCAATGTATGATGCATGCTTAATTTGGATCGCTTTGGGATCCTGCAGACCGATGCACTGGTATCTTAAACATTTGAACCAAGGACCAATGCGAATCATTACATCCCTAGACTCAACCTTTTAGAAAATGACAATGGTTCATCTAGTAGGAGCATGCTTTCTCAGAGCAGGGTCGGGTTCATGTTGGCACAAAACCGTTTGGAAACCTTTGGAGGTACAACCTGAATGATCTATTGTTTGTATAAAAATAGGAATATTGGCAGCCATTTGCTCCATATCCAACTGCATCAATGCCGAATGAGGCAAGCAGGCGACCCTGGCTTGTTCTCCCAGTCGCCCTCCTCTTTATCTCGAATATTCTGTCAATATTGCTCCCATTGGCATCTGGAACAATTTGAGAAACGGCTTTCCATGTTAGCTGTTGAGGATGATCCTTCAGTCTGCGTCGTGTTTCTTATGACACTCAACAGACAATGTTTTCAAAGTTTCGCAACGGAGAAGGAAAATGTGTAGTCTCTTCCTCTTATAGTCCGTTTTCTTCTGTTTGGGGGCCTAATGAGCAGAACCCTGATGGTCACTGTCGATCATGCCCATTGTTTCTCAAAAGACTCCCCTCAGCCCCTGTACAGTGTCTGTATGTTCATGTTTGAATGGTGTCACTTTCTATTCAAAGGCGTCAAAAATAAAATTGTAGATTTTTTCTCTTGCTTCACTTAGTTTATTTTTCTGTCTACTTCAAGTTTTCAGCTGTTCTAAGAGATTAATGTATTTCTTTACCCTTTCGATTTAAATACAAAGGTTGTGAATCAGATAAATGTTTTTTTTTTTTTTTTTTTTTTTCTTCAACTAATCAGAAATGTACTTATATCAAGTATGTAGACCGGTCTCTTTTTAAATTAGCTTTTACTAAATGCGCTTTGAATTGTATGATATGCTGTTATTTTTTTCAGTTTAGTTTCATTTTCAACAATAGACCATCTGTTCTTTTATCTGTAGAATTATGTAAATCAGCACAATAAAAAGAGTGGTTTGACAAAAATGACTCCTGTGGTGGTTCACTTTGGTGATGGTGTAGGTCTAACACACGTGTACCCTTTTCACACTGTCATGCTGAGCAGCCCCCCCCAAAAAAAAAAAAATAATTCGCCTGGTAAGGCTGACCATTGGTCGTTTTTGTAATAACACAAGGTTCATATCTGACTTGATAACCCAGAGCCCATGGTTGTTGTATGCAAAGCGACTATCATGTTTTAGTTCTACAGTTGTATGTGTGATGTGTAATAATATGGACCCTAGCATTGATATCCCACCCACCAACCTCCGCTGAGAGGAAAGAGTAGGGACCTCCATTTCACCTCATTGAATGAGATCCCTAATCTGCAAATGTGTAAATCCCTGCCTCGGAACAATTCAATAATTATCGGCTGAAATTCTAACACGTAAACACAACTACCATACAGGCATAACACACACGGAGAGAGACAAAACAGATGCTTGTTTCATCATCCTGGTAGTTTTATTTGGTTGGTGGAGTAAATTGGATCGTACGTACATCCAGATGGCACAGGGGGCTCTTTACAAGTGTTCATTTTGGCAGCTATTTTAGATTTCGTCTTAGTCTTAAAATACTTTTTAGACATTTCGTCCTGCGTTAGTTTTAGTTATCAGTCGACTTTAAAATGTCCATTAGCCTCACGTGGTAGTCTTGTCACATTTCCGTAGACTAAAATGAAAAGTAATTTGTATTAGTCATCGTTTTTTTCCAGTGTATCTCGTTATCAAAGTTTTAGTCAGGAAAAATAGGTAATTGAGTATTTTGTCATAGTATTATTGCTGACGAAATTAACACTGCGCTTTACAATTTGAGATCTTTCTGCACGCCCCACAGGGTCTCGGCGCTGTTGATCAGCTGCTTCTCTTCCTCGGGCTTCAGGGACATGTTGATGACGTCAGTCAGACCACTGTTGCCCAGCACGCACGGCACGCTGAGGAACACCTCATCTTTCACACCGTGCATCCCCTGAGAGGGAGGGAAGGAGAGAGACTGATTAGGGACGGAACACAGGTGGAGTGGCGGTGGGTGTATTATTAGTGTGTGTGTCTCAAGTCCATACATCTGTGATCTTGACCTGTTTGACAGTGGTTGGTCCAAATAAAACTATCAGATATGTCTGTATTTATGTATAAAGAAGAGCCAACTTAATCCTTACATCTTCAGTCATAACACACATTAGGTATACACTTTAGCATATAGTTTTCTTGAAAAACATGGACTACTCTTGCATGTCGGCTTGAGACTTATGCTATTTAAAAAAACATTCATATAAATACTTTATTTGCGAGTGCTGACCATCTTTTTCATTCAAGTTGAGTTAGCCTACTGCTATGCTACAACAACCAAAGATCCATCGATCTTCTTTAAACCCTCTTAGACCTAAAGGTTTTTGGCCCGTTTGGTACCATCTACTCTTCTGTATTCTTTCCCTGATTGGAACCATCAGGAGTGTTATGGATTCAGCACACTCTTAGCTACAAGTAGTATGGTAGTACCAAAATGAATGCACTCACTGTAAGTAACTCTGGATAAGACTGTCTGCTATAAAATGACAAATGTAAATATATGGCATCAACACACATTTAGAGCATGGCAGGATGGACTTCTTACCTGGACCAGGGTGGACACGGGGTGAACTTTGTGGAGGTTCTTCAGGATGCTCTCAATCAGGTCAGCGACAGACATGCCGATAGCCCAGGAGGTGTAACCCTTCAGCTTGATGACCTCATAGGCACTATATGACACAGAGAGACATGAGGAGAGGAGTTAGAAAGGAACAGCCAGGATATACAAGCATATTTGTATAATAGACATATACAAATACCTTTAAACACATCTCTATAACATATATGTAACCTTCATAACACCTTTTACACACACCTCTAACCTATAACGCCTTTATACACACTTCTTTCATATACAGTATAAGGTAGGTTTAACCTTTATAACAGCTTTATACACACCTCTTTAACCTGTATAAGGTAGGTGTAAACTTATAAGATCTTTATAACACATTTAAACTAATTTCATAGGAAACGTGAGTAGTTTTTCCTATTGTGAATGCTAAGAACTACTCAGGAAAATATATTTTGATAACAGCAGGGACAAATGCCATGAAACTAGTTATGAAGTGGATTGTGAATTACTTGTAATAACTTGTAATTAATAGTAATACCTTTACAGTCTGCAGCATTGCATAACAACAACTTAACTGCTTTAGACCCAGATGCAGGTGTAGTAAACGCATAAGACAATGGCGTAGTCTACCTACTGTGCTAGTCCCAGCATGTCTGGCTCCTAGCCTCAGGCCAAATTCCATCCTCATTCCTCCAAGCTCCATTGGATTTGATTGGGAGTGAAGTAATTTATACTCTACTTCCATCATTGTGGAAGGAATAATGGTCTCGGGCTGTTTTTCATAGTTCAGGCTCCTTAGTTCCAGTGAAGGGAAATCTTAATGCTACAGCATACAATGACATTCTAGACGATTCTGTGCTTTCAACTTTCTGGCAACAGTTTGAGGAAGGCCCTTTCCTGTTTCAGCATGACAATGCCCCCGTGCACAAAGCGAGGTCCGTACAGAAATGGTTTGTCGACATCGGTGTGGAAAGACTTGACTGGCCTGCACAGAGCCCTGACTTGGAACATAGAATGCAGGCCTAATCGCCCAACATCCGTGCCCGACCTCACTAATGCTCTTGATTTTGGAATGAGATGTTTGACGAGCAGGTGTCCACATAATTTTGGTCATGTAGTGTAGTTGAACAGATAGCGATGTGTGTTTATAAGACTCACCCATCGACCACCATCTTGTGGACATGCTTCCAGTCCTCCTTGTCTGCGTCTGTGCCCATGTGTGGGTTCAGGCCCTTCAGGGAAACACCGGCAACGTTCACGCCGCTCCATACGGGCACTGGGAGAAAGAAAAGAGACAGGCATCCAGTCAGTTACCTATCTGTCATAGATACCAATGTCCATGAAGGTTTTCCACAATATGGTATGGACAGACAGACAGACTGTTCCGGAGTGGAGTGGATTTGAAGCCATAGCCTACATACCGCTGGAGTCTCCGTGCTCTCCAATGATCCAGCCGTGGCAGCTGGAGGGGTGAAGGTGTAGCTTCTCGCCCATCAGGTGGCGGAAACGACCGGAGTCCAGGTTGGTGCCGGAGCCGATGACGCGGTGACGGGGGAAACCACTCAGCTTCCAGGCCACGTAGGTCAGGATGTCAACTGGAATGGGGGGAGGAGAGAAAGGAGAAGGGGGCGTTACAAACGTTATCACAATTTGAGTTAAGAAAACAAACCCTAACCATACCCCTAACATTATGCCTAAACCTTACATTTGTATTTGTATAAATGTTCACTATATAGCCAGCGTTGACTTTGCAGCTTGGAGTATGGAACGAAAGGGAGGAGGGGTGACACATTTTGGCCGAGTTGTCAGCAAAGGACCATGCAGTTGTTCCTGATAATGTAACCTGACCCTGGAGAGCTACGGAGTGAGCAGGCCAGCACTAATATCTTATTGAAACCTGTCAATGACTTCGCACAATGTTAGAGTAATAATCAAGTCACCGGACCATGTTGAATCTCTCTCTCTCTCTCTCTCTCTCTCCCCCTCTCCCTCTCCCTCTCCCTCTCCCTCTCCCCCTCCCTCCCTCCCTCCCTCCCTCACCGGGGTTGGAGACGACCAGCAGGATGGCGTTGGGGCTGTACTTGACGATCTGGGGGATGATGAACTTGAAGATGTCGACGTTGCGCTGCACCAGGTTCAGACGGCTCTCGCCCTCCTGCTGACGAGCACCGGCGGTGATCACCACCACCTTGGAGTGGGCGGTCGTACTGTAGTCTGGAGTGGGGGAGGACCCACACACAATGTAACCAGGGTTTGATTATATAACAGTGGGCAACTCAAGGTAAGGTGCACATTAAACACACACAAATACAACCTAGGGTTCCGAGCACCCCCACAACAAATCAGTGTGTGTGTGCACAACTTGTTTGTGCATATGTGTGTTTGTTTGTGTATTTGTGTGTGTGCACAACACGTTTGTGCGTGTGTGTGTTAGTGTGAGTGCGCATAAGTGTTTGACTCCTCACTCACCCTTATTGCCCACAATCTTGTGGGTCTTGCAGAAGAGGCTGCCATGCTGCAGGTCCATGACCTCACCCTTCAGCTTATCCTCCATCACGTCAATTAGGCACAGCTCATCGCACAGGTCCTAGTCAACACATGCAAACAAGGCTTGTTAGGGTTCAGGAATATACTCCATATAGAAAAGTCTATGGATATATTTAAGAGGTCGGTTTCCTGGACACAAGTTAAAGGCTAAATCTTAGCCTAAAAACCTATTTCACCATAGAAACTGCTTTTTTGTCCCAGATGAGGCTTAATCTGTGTCGGGGGAAACTGGCCCTATAAGTCCGCTCCATTTTACCACAACATTTAATCAAACCAAATACACAGTACATTTCAGACATGGAATGCAACGCAATGTGCTTGACAAAAAAATGTTACAAAAAAATTTGAACGACTAAAAAGCACCCTAAGGAAAAGCAAAGCTAAAATGGTGTGTTTTCAGAATTATTTTAATGATGTCCACAGTTTCGGCCCCCCTCAGGTTCTCTGGCAGGCTAATCCACAGGCTGGGGGCATAATAACTAAAGGCTGCCTCTCCATGCCTCTTGGTCCTAGGCTTTGGGATAGTTAAAAGGCCTGTGCCAGAGGACCTGAGGGACCTACTGTGTACATAAGTTAAAAGTATGTCTGACATGTATTGGGGTGCACAATCGTGGATTGATTTACAAACCAACAGAAGAATCTTAAAATTAATTCTAAAACTCACAGGCAGCCAGTGCAGAAACCTTAAAACCGGTGTAATGTGTGCTCTCCGACAGGTCTTGGTCAGTATCCGTGCTGCAGCATTCTGTATGTTTTGCAGTTGACCAATGGCTTTCTTGTGTAGACCAGACAGGAGAGTATTACAGTAGTCAAGCCTGCTTGTAATAAAAGCATGGATGAGTCTCTCTGTATCAGCCTGAGAGTGAAACGGCCGCACCTTGGCAATATTCCTCAGGTGGTAAAAAGCTATTTTCGTAATTCGAAATTGAGTTCAGCATCTAAAATGACACATCGTTTTTTTTACCTGGAGTTTGATCTTTATTGCCCTTGAATTAAAATGTGCGGCCTTGTCCCATCCAAGTCTTTAAATCACTAAAACAGTCTAATAATTTATCTGTGAAGCTAAAATCCTCTGGTGACACAGAAATGTAAAGTTGTGTATCGTCTGCGTAGCAATGAAAATCAATGCTGTACGTTCTGATAACGCTGCCAAGGGGTAACATACTGTAAATAAACTGAACACAATTGTGATATGTACAGTTGAAGTCGGATGTTTACATACACTTTGGTTGGAGTCATTAAAACTCGTTTTTCAACCACTCCACAAATTTCTTGTTAACAAACTATAGTTTTGGCAAGTTGGTTAGGACATCTACTTTGTGCATGACACAAGTAATTTTTCCAACAATTGTTTACAGACAGATTATTTTACTTATAATTCACTGTATCACAATTCAGTGGGTCAGAAGTTTACATACACTAAGTTGACTGTGCCTTTAAACAGCTTGGAAAATTCCAGAAAATGATGTCATGGCTTTAGAAGCTTCTGATAGGCTAATTGACATCATATGAGTCAATTGGAGGTGTACCTGTGGATGTATTTCAAGGCCTACCTTCAAACTCAGTGCCTCTTTGCTTGATATCATGGGAAAATCAAAAGAAATCAGCCAAGACCTAAGAAAAAAAATTGTAGACCACCACAAGTCTGGTTCATCCTTGGGAGCAATTTCCAAACGCCTGAAGGTACCACGTTCATCTGTACAAACAATAGTACGCAAGTATAAACACCATGGGACCACGCAGCCGTCATAATGCTCAGGAAGGAGACGCGTTCTGTCTCCTAGATATGAACGTACTTTGGTGCGAAAAGTGCAAATTGATCCCAGAACAACAGCAAAGGACCTTGTGAAGATGCTGGAGGAAACAGGTACACAAGTATCTATATCCACAGTAAAACGAGTCCTATATCGAAATAACCTGAAAGGCCGCTCAGCAAGGAAGAAGCCACTGCTCCAAAACTGCCATAAAAAAGCCAGACTACGGTTTGCAACTGCACATGGGGACAAAGATCGTACTTCTTGGAGAAATGTCCTCTTGTCTGATTAAACAAAAATAGATCTGTTTGGCCATAATGACCATTGTTATGTTTGGAGGAAAAAGGGGGTGGCTTGCAAGCCGAAGAACACCATCCCAACCGTGAAGCATGGGGGTGGCAGCATCATGCTGTGGGGGTGCTTTGCTGCAGGAGAGACTGGTGCACTTCACAAAATAGATGGCATCATGACGAAGGAAAAATGTGGATATATTGAAGCAACATCTCAAGACATCAGTCAGGAAGTTAAAGCAAATGGGTCTTCCAAATGGACAATGACCCCACGCATACTTCCAAAGTTGTGGCAACATGTCTTAAGGACAACAAAGTCAAGGTATTGGAGTGGCCATCACAAAGCCCTGACCTCAATCCTATAGAACATTTGTGGGCAGAACTGAAAAAGCGTGTGTGAGCAAGGAGGCCTACAAACCTGACTCAGTTACACCAGCTCTGTCAGGAGGAATGTGCCAAAATTCACCCAACTTATTGTCGGAAGCTTGTGGAAGGCTACCCGAAACGTTTGACCCAAGTTAAACAATTTAAAGGCAATGGTACCAAATACTAATTGATTGTATGTAAACTTCGGACCCACTCTACTTTTATTCTGACATTTCACATTCTTAAAATAAAGTGGTGATCCTAACTGACGTAAGACAGGGACTTTTTACTAGGATTAACATTTTACATTTACATTTTAGTCATTTAGCAGACGCTCTTATCCAGAGCGACTTACAGGAGCAATTAGGGTTAAGTGCCTTGCTCAAGGGCACATTTACGTCATTTAGCAGACGCTCTTATCCAGAGCGACTACAAGTTGGTGCATTACCCCTATAGCCAGTGGGGTAGAAGGATTACTTTATCCTATCCCAGGTGTTCCTTAAAGAGGTGGGGTTTCAAATGTCTCCGGAAGGTGGTGAGTGACTCCGCTGTCCTGGCGTCGTGAGGGAGCTTGTTCCACCATTGGGGTGCCAGAGCAGCGAACAATTTTGACTGGGCTGAGCGGGAACTATGCTTCCGCAGAGGAAGGGGACATATATATATATATATATATATATATATATATACACACAGTACCAGTCAAAAGTTTAGACACACCTACTCATTCAAGGGTTTTTCTTTATTTGTACTATTTTCTACATTGTAGAATAATAGTGAAGACATCAACACTATGAAATAACACATGGAATCATGTAGTATCCAAAAAAGTGTTAAACAAATCAAAATATATTTTATATTTGAGATTCTTCAAAGTAGCCACCCTTTGCCTTGATGACAGCTTTGCACACTCTTGGCATTCTCTCAACCAGCTTCACCTGGAATGCTTTTCCAACAGTCTTGAAGGAGTTCCCACATATGCTGAGCACTTGTTGGCTGCTTTTCCTTCACTCTGCGGTCCAACTAATCCCAAACCATCTCAATTTGGTTGAGGTCGGGTGATTGTGGATGCCAGGTCATCTGATGCAGCACTCCATCACTCTCCTTCTTGGTCAAATAGCCCTTACACAGCCTGGAGGTGTGTTGGGTCATTGTCCTGTTGAAACCTTTTCTGAATTAGTAGTTTTAGGGGATTTTAACTTTGGTTTACCTCGGCCTCAGACCATTTAAATAATATTTGCCTTGACTTTGACCTGACTCAACTGATTGCAAATCTCACATGGGATGAATGTAAAAACAATCCAGCAAACTCCTCACTGATTGACCTAATTCTGACAAATAGCCCCCACAGGTACTTGTCCATGGTGTCTTTGCTAATGATATCAGTGATCACTGTCCTATTGCATGTATTAGAGATACCAAACACATGAACACTGATCCTCGTATAATTATGAAGATACATTTTTAAAGCTCTAATATGTAATTTTTGGGGCGACCCGACCAAATTCACATAGAAATGTGTTATAGATCTGTCATTCTTAGTTGGTAGAGCATGGCGCTTGCAACGCCAGGGTTGTGGGTTCGATTCCCACGGGGGACCAGTATGAAAATATATGCACTCACTAACACTAAGTCGCTCTGGATAAGAGCGTCTGCTAAATGACTCAAATGTAAATGTAAATGTAAAGCATGTCTAAGAAACGGTAGATCTGTTCTATGTGCGCTATTGCTTCCTATCTTAAGTTTTGTTTTTGCATCTTTTACTTTAGGTTTTGTACACCAGCTTAAAACAGCTGAAAACACAAAATGTTTGGTTATAGAAAATATATTTCACAGTGGTTTAGATGGAACGATGATTCTCTACACTATACTTGCTTGTTTTGTCACATAAACTGAAATTAGGCAAACTATTAGAATTTTTGCAACCAGGAAATGGCGGAGCGATTTCTGCATATTGCATCTTAGAAATGTTTACCCTCCAAGCTCTTCTTCATGATATGTATTACGGTGGCTTGCGAAAGTATTCACCCCCCTTGGCATTTTTCCTATTTTGTTGCCTTACAACCTGGAATGAAATTTTTTGGGGGTTTGTATCATTTGATTTACACAACATGCATACTACATTATTGTGAAATAAACAAGAAATAAGACCAACAAAAAAAAAAAAACTTGAGCATGCATAACTATTCACCCCCCCCCCCCCCCCCCCCCCAAAGTCAATACTTTGTAGAGCCACCTTTTGCAGGAATTACAGCTGCAAGTCACTTGGGGTATGTCACTATAAGCTTGGCATATCTAGCCACTGGGATTTCTGCCCATTCTTCAAGGCAAAACTGCTCCAGCTATTTCAAGTTGGATGGGTTCTGCTGGTGTTCAGCAATCTTTATGTCATACCACAAATTCTCAATTGGATTGAGGTCTGGGCTTTGACTAGGCCATTCCAAGACATTTAAATGTTTCCCCTTAAACCACTAGAGTGTTGCTTTAGCAGTATGCTTAGGGTCATTGTCCTGCTGGAAGGTGAACCTCGGTCCCAGTCTCAAATCTCTGGAAGACTGAAACAGGTTTCCCTCAAGAATTTCCCTGTATTTAGCGCCATCCATCAATTCTGACCAGTTTCCCAGTCCCTGCCGATGAAAAACATCCCCACAGCATGATGCTGCCACCACCATGCTTCACTGTGGGGATGGTGTTCTCGGGGTGATGAGAGGTGTTGGGTTTGCGCCAGACATAGCGTTTTCCTTGATGGCCAAAAAGCTCAATTTTAGTCTAATCTGACCAGAGTACCTTCTTCCATATGTTTGGAGAGTCTCCCACATGCCTTTTGGCGAACACCAAAATGTTTGCTTATTTTTTTTCTGCCCACTCTTCCGTAAATCCCAGCTCTGTGGAGTGTACTGCTTAAAGTGGTCCTATGGACAGTTACTCCAATCTCCACTGTGGAGGTTTGCAGCTCCTTCAGGGTTATCTTTGGTCTCTTTGTTGCCTCTCTGATTAATGCCCTTCTTGCCTGGTCTGTGAGCTTTGGTGGGCGGCCCTCTCTTGGCAGGTTTGTTGTGGTGCCATATTCTTTCCATTTTTTAAATAATGGATTTAATGGTGCTCAGTGGGATGTTCAAAGTTTCTGATATTTTTTATAACCTAACCCTGATCTGTACTTCTCCACAACTTTGTCCCTGACCTGTTTGGATAGCTCCTTGGTCTTCATGGTGCCACTTGCTTGGTGGTGCCCCCTGCTTAGTGGTGTTGCAGACTCTGGGGCCTTTCAAAACAGGTGTATATATACTGTCACGCGTGCTGTAGGTGGGTGCAGTGGTGGAATCAAACGCAGGACACCGAAGTATAGTCCAACACACAACACTAGACAAACACAACGAGAAACTTATAGGACACTAATTACGCTAAACGAGAACAGGTGTCACAACAAACAGACAAAAGCAAACGAACATGAAACATACAACGGTGGCAGCTAGTATTCCGGAGACAACGAACGCCGAAGCCTGCCCGAACAAGGGAGAGAGGCAGCCTCGGCCGAAACCGTGACATATACTGAGATCATGTGACAGATCATGTGACACTTAGATTGCACACAGGTGGACTTTATTTAACTAATTATGTGACTTCTGAAGGTAATTGGTTGCACCAGATCTTATTTAGGGGCTTCATAGTAAAGGGGGTGAATACATATACACGCACCACTTTTCCGTTATTAATCTTTTCGATTTTTTTTGTAATACGTTTTTTTTTTCCATTTCACTTCACCAATTTGGACTATTTTGTGTATGTCCATTACATGAAATCCAAATAAAAATCAATTTAAATTACAGGTTGTAATGCAACAAAATAGGAAAAATGCCAAGGGGGATGAATACTTTTGCAAGGCGCTGTATACTGACTTTGCCTCTATCAGCTGTATGCCGGACCCTGAATTAGCTCTAGAATTGTTCTCATCTATTTGTATCCCTCTGGCAGACAAAACACGGCCCCTTTAAATACTTTAGAGTAAAACATTTGTACAAATCCTTGGTTCTCTATAGAACTTTCATATCTTGTTATTATGAGAAATCAGGCCTGGGCCAAGGCTAGAAAAACGGTCTCTGTAGCTGATTGAAAGCTTATCAGGCAATTGAGAAATAGATGCACTTCCTCAATCAAAAAAGCTAAATCTAGTTACTTTCTAAGTTCTATCTCAGACAGCGGGTGATCCATTAACATTTTGGAAAACAGTTAATGCACTGAAGTGTTGAAATTCCTCTCCTTCCCTGCATAAGCAAGTTGTGTCAGACATCATTATTGAGAAAATGAGATAAGTGATGCTTTTAAATCAGCATTTTATCTCAGCTTTTCATTTTAAAGAAATTGTGGTTTAATTGACCCTGGTCAGCCAGTCGATGCATTGCGCTATTTATTTATCTTATAACTTGTCCTTGTGGTAAAAATGATGTGGGTAAAACGAAGCGCGAATTACAAGTAAGAATCTCGGAGCATCGTAGCACCATTAGTTGCAAAAACTCGACGTACCCAGTTGTGGCCCACTTTTTGGAAGCAAACCACTCTATTTCCTCCCTACGTTATATCGGCATCGAACACATCACCCTCCCTAGGAGAGGGGTGACCTTGACAATTTATTAAACGAGAGGCTTCCTGGATCTTTAATTTAAAGACCCTTGCTCTCTTCGGTCTCAACATAGACTTTGATCTGAAGCCATTCTTGTGTTTATTGTGATCTTGCAATTCATTGTAAATGTTTGTAGGCCTATCTAGCCAACATGTATCTATGATCGTATGCTATCAATTCATGTTTTTTACATGTTCTATTTATATCTGTAAATTAACCAATGATATCAAGCCACACCCGTCCATGATTACAGACACCTGTGTGTCCTTTGAAACTATATAAACTAGTGACCTGCAGTGTTTGTCATTATATCCTGATGAAGACAGCTTGTCTGTCGAAACATTGGTTATTAGGTTATTCAATTATTGCATCTGAGCTCCTAGAGTGTGCGGCTCTCCTTTTATTTTTCAAGTTGTCTAGCTGTGGCCATCTGGCTAGTATCAACAAGGGCTTTCTACAAAATAGAAACATTAGCGCAGATAGCTTTGAATCTAGATAATAAGCAATACGAACAGATATGCATTGCCAAACAACGATACTGCCACTTTCTGGTTTGGAGTATTCTAACAAGTCTGAGTGGCTGACGACTTCCAAGGTCTTTGCTGTGAGAACACAAAATAGATTGACTGCCGACACTCTGTTCAGAGATGCTAAGTACTATCTGCAGGCAAACACTTAACAATCCCACGGGTGTGTCTGAGCTTTTAAGGTTTGTGGAGTTGGTGCCTCTAGGGCAATCCAGGCAGATGTTAGAGGGCCTTTTTACAGAAGAATGTGTTTGTTTCATATGATTTTGTTTTGCTTTTCATGTTTTGTGTTGGATTTTCATGTATTGTGTAATTGAATTATATAGATCTCCTGAGTGGCGCAGCGGTCTAAGGCACTGCATCGCAGTGCTAGCTGTGCCACTAGAGATCCTGGTTCGAATCCAGGCTCTGTCGTAGCCGGCCGCGACCGGGAGACCCATGGGGCGGCGCACAATTGGCCCAGCGTCGTCCAGGGTAGGGGAGGGAATGGCCGGCAGGGATGTAGCTCAGTTGGTAGAGCATGGCGTTTGCAACGCCAGGGTTGTGGGTTTGATTCCCACGGGGGGCCAGTATGAAAAATACAAAAAAGAATGTATGCTCTGGATAAGAGCTCTGGATAAGAGCATCTGCTAAATGACTAAAATGTAAAATAGATATCTATTGAGTAATTGTGGTTTATTGATGTGTTCATGCAGGGCTCATCTGCAAAAGAGACCATGGTCTCAGTGACTCCCTGGCTAAATAACAACAACAAAACATAACCCCCATCTCTAAATTAACTTATTATGGATATCTACGTAGCACATTGATGTGAATCACACTGCTGCTCTCTCATTTAGAAATGTATGCCTTACGAACTGTGGTTGTAGTGGATGGCTGTTCACAATTGTATATGTGTATTTTAACCTAATAATGGTTGAATTGAAGAAGTTTAAGCTGCCTATCAATCATTGTTTTTGCAACCCATTGACAGCCAGTGAAAAATGTGCTCTTGCAACAGCTGCATTGTGTGGATCCTAGCCTATGGTATAACAATTTAAGGGAGTTCCTCAATTCTAAACTTCTCTGTGGTATTGTGCTCCATACTGTCAAAAACAAGTTTAATTTAATAAGACCACGAGTGTGGCTTTTATTGCTCAATCTAATTTGTGATGGTTAAAAGAAAATATGTCCGTAGGCCTAATGTAACATGCTCAAACACTTTTGAAAGACTTATGTTTTTTATGTAAAGAAATAGCCTAATCATATTATTATCTGTGGTATAAAGCAATGGGTTAAAATAAGCCTACTGTACATAACCAACCCATAAATTAAAATGCAACATCCATTTATGGCCAGCTATGTAAACTCTAACTTTGATTTATCCTGCAATAGATGTACAGGAAGTTTACATACACCTTAGCCAAATACATTTAAATACATTTAAACTCAGTTTTTCACAATTCCTGACATTTAATCCTAGTTAAAATTCCCTGTTTTAGGTCAGTTAGGATCACCACTTTATTTTAAGAATGTGAAATGTCAGAATAATACTAGAGAGAATGATTTATTTCAGCTTTTATTTCTTTCATCACATTCCCAGTGGGTCAGAAGTTTATATACACTCAATTAGTATTTGGTAGCATTGCCTTTAAATTGTTTAACTTGGGTCAAACGTTTCGGGTAGCCTTCCACAAGCTTCCCACAATAAGTTCGGTGAATTTTGGCCCATTCCTCCTGACAGAGCTGGTGTAACTGAGTGTGGTTTGTAGGCCTCCATGCTCGCACACGCTTTTTCAGTTCTGCCCACACATTTTCTATAGGATTGAGGTCAGGGCTTTGTGATGGCCACTCCAATACCTTGACATTGTTGTCCTTAAGACCTTTTGCCACAACTTTGGAAGTATGCTTGGGTTCATTGTCCATTTGGAAGACCCATTTGCGACCAAGCTTTAACTTCCTGACTGATGTCTTGAGATGTTGCTTCAATATATCCACATCATTTTCCTTCCTCATGATGCAATCTATTTTGTGAAGTACACCAGTCCCTCCTGCAGCAAAGCACACCCACAGCATGATGCTGCCACCCCCGTGCTTCACGGTTGGGATGGTGTTCTTCGGCTTGCAAGGCACCCCCTTTTTCCTCCAAACATAACGATGGTCATTATGGCCAAACAGTTCTATTTTTGTTCCATCAGACAAGAGGACATTTCTCCAAAAAGTACGATCTTTGTCCCCATGTGCAGTTGCAAACCGTAGTCTGGCTTTCATATGGCGGTTTTGGAGCAGTGGCTTCTTCCTTGCTGAGCGGCCTTTCAGGTTATGTCGATATAGGACTCGTTTTACTGTGGATATAGATACTTTTGTACCTGTTTCCTCCAGCATCTTCACAAGGTCCTTTTGCTGTTGTTCTGGGATTGATTTGCACTTTTCGCACCAAAGTACGTTCATTTCTAGGAGACAGATCGCGTCTCCTTCCTGAGTGGTATGACGGCTGCGTGGTCCCATGGTGTTTATACTTGTGTACTATTGTTTGTACAGATGAACGTGGTACCTTCAGGCGTTTGGAAATTGCTCCCAAGGATGAACCAGACTTCTGGAGGTCTACACATTTTTTTCTGAGGTCTTGGCTGATTTCTTTTGATTTTCCCATGATGTCAAGCAAAGAGGCACTGATTTTGAAGGTAGGCCTTGAAATACATCCACAGGTACACCTCCTATTGACTCAAATAATGTCAATTAGCCTATCAGAAGCTTCTAAAGCCATGACATCATTTTCTGGAATTTTCCAAGCTGTTTAATGGCACAGTCAATTTAGTGTATGTAAACTTCTGACCCACTGGAATTGTGATACAGTGAATTATAAGTGAAATAATTGTTGGAAAAATTACTTGTGTCATGCACAAAGTGTAGATGTCCTAACCGACTTGCCAAAACTATAGTTTGTTAACAAGAAATTTGTGGAGTGGTTGAAAAACAAGTTTTAAATACTCCAACCTAAGTGTATGTAAACCTCCGACTTCAACTGTAGTTCAATTGGTAATATTCATTTTTGTCTTCTTCTAATGCCTCTTAAGGGAAAGTAACTGAAGGTAATCAGATTACGTTACTGAGTTTGGGTAATCCAAATGTTACGTTACTGATCAAAATTTGGGACTAGTAACTGTAACAGACTACATTTAGAAAGTAACGTAACCCAGCCCCGATCCCACCCCACCCCGCCCCTCCCCTCCCCCATCCATCCCTCCATCGGTCTTACCTTGAGCAGGACGCTGACTGCGGAGGCCATGCCAACCATGCCGACGCCAACCACTGTCACCTTGCTTCGGGAGCCAACGGGCTCACCAGCCAAGACATGGGTGATCAGCTTCTCCTTGGTGGTCATCTGAGAGACATAAAGAGAGAGAAAAAGAGAGAGAGATGGGGTCAGCCTGATCCCCTCAGTTTTCCCTCAGAACATCCTCTCAGAGCAAGAAACAGCACTGTGCTCTGGAACCTACTTTTCTCTTCAACTACTGCTAATACGAATAACTGCTAATACGACTCTCAAAACAATTTCTTCATTGGTATAATGTATATCACTCCATACCTCGCCACCATGCTAGCTAATGTGTGGTGAGTATTCTGGCACAAAATGGTTGCCGTGCATCATCCAAGTGGGTGCCACCCATTGGTGGTGGATGAGGTGAGTTTCCCCCTTACTAGTTAAAGCAGTTTGAGTACCTCAGTTGGTAGAAAGGCGCTATATAAATCCAATAAATTGTTATTAGAGGTTCACAACAAAGCTGTGAAACCTATTGTTATTCTTAGATTGTTTTATTTTTCTTGACATGGTCAAATAACTCAAGCATAGATTGTAAACTTGGTTAAAAATAATGGCACCGATTGGCCAATAGGTGGCACTGTTATTGTCAAAAATAATGACACCGATTGGCCAATAGGTGGCTCTGTTATAAGCAGTCTCACTTAAACCCTCATATCTGGGTTAAGAGATGGCTGAGTTATTAATTAATCAGAAAATCAGATTTTAAGTGTCAATTAAAATCCTTTGTAATTTACAATGGCCTATCAACTAGAAACGTTTTAAGATCATCAAAGACATTACCATCATGAACCTTGTTAAGTTTGGCGTTGATGTCTTTAAAAAATAAGGAAACTATGAACAATTCACTTTTGGCTATGTAACGCTAATGCTTAAAATAATCATAAAAAATCGAATTCTCATGGACTAAAAGTCACATTCACTCCAAATTTGGGGCTCTATTTCATCTGTAAAGCTGAAGCATTACAGATTCCGCGCTAGAAATGTAAAGTTAATTTCCGATTGAGCTGACAAATGCAGCTTTTACCGTGAATGCAGTCTCCGCTAAAATGGGAACATTGCCTTTAAATGTAATTTACACAGCTTCTAAAGATTAGGTTTACATACCAAATTTAATTGCCCCACATCCATCGGTTCAGTTCTATAGTAGTAGCCAGTTGTTGTTGCCCTTGGTGGAATCATCTAACCCGCTGGCTCCTGAAGCCCCAATGAGCTCCCAAGTCTAGAAACAGTCTAGCGTTAGCATGGCAAATTAGCATTTTGCTAGCTAGCTGAGCTGTTTTACAAGAAAACGGCTGAGATGACTCAAACACTGTAGCTAGCTAGAAAGCACTCCTCGGTGACATACGTTTTGTATTTTAATTTAATATTAACTGTCACTGAACTTGGTGGTTACTACTGGTGTCAGATCCGAGGTGAGAGAATATTTCCACCATGTTTTGGTAAGGGCTCGAAGTGACGTCACGCAGCCAAGAAGCCTCAACAAATCACCTGACGGATATTAATGACTTCGCCTCCGGGTATCCTCAGAAGGAAATTTAACGACTGGATATGTGATAACTGGTCCCTTTTTCAATATTTTGTTACGTTACATCCTTATTCTAAAATTGATTAAATACATTTTTTCCCTCATCAATCTACACACAATACCCCATAATGACAAAGGGAAAACAGGTTTTTGCAAATCGAAAAAATAAAAAAAACGGAAATAACTTCTTTACATAACTATTAAGACCCTTTGCTATGAGACTTGAAATTGAGCTCAGGTGCATCCTGTTTCCATTGATCATCCTTGAGATGTTTCTACAACTTGATTGGAGTCCACCTTTGGTAAATTCAATTGATTGGACATGATTTGGAAAGGCATACACCTGTCTATATAAGGTCCCACAGTTGACAGTGCACGTCAGAGCAAAAACCAAGCCATGAGGTCGAAGGAATTGTCCGTAGAGGACAGGATTTTGTAGAGGCACAGATCTGAGGAAGGGCACCAAAGCATTTCTGCAGCATTGAAGATCCCCAAGAACACAGTGGCCTCCATCATTCTTAAATGGAAGAAGATTCGAACCACCAAGTCTCTTCCTAGAGATGGCCGCCCGGCCAAACTGAGCAATCGGGGGAGAAAGGCCTTGGTCAGGGAGGTGACCAAGAACCCGATGGTCACTCTGACAGAGCTCCAGAGTTCTTCTGTGGAGATGGGAGAACCTTCAAGATGGACAACCATCTCTGCAGCACTCCACTAATGAGGCCTTTATGGTAGAGTGGACAGACGGAAGCCACTCCTCAGTAAAAGGCACATGACAGCCCACTTGGAGTTTGCCAAAAGGCACCTAAAGGACTCTCAGACCATGAGAAACAAGATTCTCTGGTCTGATGAAACCAAGATTGAACTTGTTGGTCTGAATGCCAAGCGTCACGTCTGGAGGAAACCAGGCACTGCTCATTACCTGGCCAATACCATCCCTACGGTAAAGCATGGTGGTAGCAGCATAATTCTGTGGGGATGTTTTTCAGCGGCAGGGACTGGGAGACTAGTCAGGATCAAGGGAAAGACAGAGATCCTTGATGAAAATCTGCTCCAGAGCGCTCAGGACATCAGACTGGGGCAGAGGTTCACCTTCTAACAGGACAACGACCCTAAGCACACAGCCAAGACAACATAGTAGTGGCTTTGGGACAAGTCTCTGAATGTCCTTGACTGGCCCAGCCAGAGCCCGGATTTGAACCCAATCTAACATCTCTGGAGAGACCTGAAAATAGCTGTGCAGCGACGCTTTCCATCCAACCTGACATAGTTTGAGAAGATCTGCAGAGAAGAATGGGAGAAACTCCCCAAATACAGGTGTGCCAAGCTTGTAGCGTCATACCCAATAATACTCTAGGCTGTAATCGCTGCCAAAGTTGCTTCAACAATGTACTGAGTATAGGGTCTGAATACTCATGTAAATGTGATGTTTCCACATTTTTTAAATTTTTTATAAATGTGCAAAAATGTCTATAAACCAGTTTTTGCTTTGTCATTATGGGGTATTGTGTATAGATTGATGAGGGGGAAAAAATATTTAAGCCATTTTAGAATAAAATGGGGAGGGGTCTGAATACCTTTTTTTTTTGTATTGGGGTTTATGGATTATGTACTTGTTTGTGTTGGACTTTATCTGAGATTTTTCTTTAAAGAGTCAAGCATATTTGTCCAGGCCTCAATTGTTCCTTGACTAGCACCATTCATTCTCACTGTCAATTATTCTAATGTTATAAATTCTAATAGTAACTGTATCCACTGGCGAATTGGGAGAGAGTGAGGTGATTGCCATCTAAGAGCCAGCATCTTTTTTCGGTAGTGATGCCTGCCAGCAGTAATTCTCTCTGATTGATTGAGATATTCAAGGAGCTATCATCACTAAGTAACATAATAGATGCAAAGCAGTGAATATTTACATTCATGCACTTCGAAATTGATTTTCTAACCCAGGAGTCATATCTTTCCCTATTCTGTTACAGTTGATGGGTTGTTCAGATTCAATTAGATCTGTGGACCATACCTTTTCAATGAATAGCGCAGAATATAAGCTTTCCAAAGGTTCTTAATATACTACATATATCAGTCCTTTCGGGAGCCCAGAAAATGTATTTATAAATCCCATCATTGGATGGTTCGGTAGTTGGGTTTCCCAATGGACAGCATAGCTGAACTAAATTGTAAATATAGAAAAAAGGAGTTACCTGGTCATGTGTATGTATTGTTTAACATCTTGGAATGTTCTCAAACCATTACTGTCCATGATATCTCAAGGGTACAGATTCCAAAGTCTGCCCTCCAGATCGCTTGGCATTGTTTTGAAATATCGGAGCATGGGCATACATTTTTTATTCCCATTTACATTGTTTTTCAATTTTGCACCAAATATACATTTTGTGAGCAATAGTAGGACCAAAGAGTAGTTTACATTGTTTAATGGATATATCAGTGAAGATCACCTCTTCCAGGCAATAGGAGACACCATATTTCTCTCTACAGTTGTGGTCAAAAGATTTGAGAATGACACATGCTAATTTTCACAAAGTCTGCTGCCTCAGTATTGATGATGGCAATATCCATATATTCCAGAATGTCATGAAGAGTGATCGGATGAATTGCAATTAATTACAAAGTCCCTCTTTGCCATGAAAATGAACTTAATCCCCTAAAAACATTTCCACTGCATTTCAGCCCTGCCACAAAAGGACCAGATGACTTCATGTCAGTGATTCTCTCGTTAACACAGGTGAGAGTGTTGACGAGGACAAGGCTGGAGATCACTCTGTCATGCTGATTGAGTTAGAATAACAGACTGGAAGCTTTAAAAGGAGGGTGGTCCTTGAAATCATTGTTCTTCCTCTGTTAACCATGGTTACCTGCAAGGAAACACATGCCGTCATCATTGCTTTGCACAAAAAGGGCTTCACAGGCAAGGTTATTGCTGCTAGTAAGATTGCACCTAAATCAACCATTTATCGGATCATCAAGAACTTCAAGGATAGCGGTTCAATTGTTGTGAAGAAGGCGTCAGGGCGCCCAAGAAAGTTCAGCAAGCGCCAGGACCGTCTCCTAAAGTGGATTCAGCTGCGGGATCGGGGCACCACCACTGCAGAGCTTGCTCAGGAATGGCAGCAGGCAGGTGTGAGTGCATCTGCACGCACAGTGAGGCGAAGACCTTTGGAGGATGGCCTGGTTTCAAGAAGGGCAGCAAAGAAGCCACTTCTCTCCAGGAAAAACATCAGGGACAGACTGATATTCTGCAAAAGGTACAGGGATTCGACTGGGGTAAAGTCATTTTCTCTGATGAATCCCCTTTCCGATTGTTTGGGGCATCCGGAAAAAAGCTTGTCAGGAGAAGACAAGGTGAGCGCTACCCTCAGTCCTGTGTCATGCCAACAGTAAAGCATCCTGAGACCATTCATGTGTGGGGTTGCTTCTCAGCCAAGGGAGTGGGCTCACTCACAACTTTGCCTAAGAACACAGCCATGAATAAAGAATGGTATCAACATATCCTCCGAGAGCAACTTCTCCCAACCATCCAAGAACAGTTTGGTGACGACCAATGCCTTTTCCAGCATGATGGAGCACCTTGCCATAAGGCAAAAGTGATAACTAAGTGGCTCGGGGAACAAAACATCAAAATGTTGGGTCCATGGCCAGGAAACTCCCCAGACCTTAATCCCATTGAGAACTTGTGGTCGATCCTCAAGAGGCGGGTGGACAAACAAAAACCCACAAATTCTGACAAACTCCAAGCATTGATTATGCAAGAATGGGCTGCCATCAGTCAGGATGTGGCCCAGAAGTTAATTGACAGCATGACAGGGCAGATTGCAGAGGTCTTGAAAAAGAAGGGTCAACACTACAAATATTAAACTTAATGTAATTGTCAATAAAAGCCTTTGACACTTATGAAATGCTTGTAATTATACTTCAGCATACCATAGTAACATCTGACAAAAAAATCTCATAATACTGAAGCAGCGAACTTTGTGAAGACCAATACTTGTGTCATTCTCAAAACCTTTGACCACGACTGTATACTCTCCATACTCAGTCAGGGGGCAGAATAATCATGTCTTAACTAATTTAGGATGGGGCGAAATGCTAGGAAATACAATTGAAAGTTTGCTACGTCTTTCCCTCTTTGTAAGTTTCTTAATTTTATCCGGTATCGGTTACCTTGCTATATACATTTTAAAACCGCGCTATGTATTTTGTCCCAATAGCCAGAAGGGGGAGCCATGGGAAGCATTGAACTACAGAAATTCAGCCTTGGCAATATATTCATTTTGACAAAATATATTCTGCTGGTTAAAGCAACTGGGATGTTATTCCATCTACTGAGGTCAGATTTAATTGATTTGAGTGTTCTGTAAACATTTCTGACAATGGTTTTATCTAAGGAAGGAAACATATCTACTCCAAAATATTTAAAAAGGGAAACGATTGGGATTCTATAAGTAGAGATGTAGTCCTCCATCAGGGTCTTGAGAGGCAGAAGTGCTGATTTGATTCGATTAATTTTTTAATTTGAGATTAAGATGACTTTATCTGTGATCGTCAATGCGTTTGGAAGAGATTGAGATGCTTTGTCTAGATATTGTAAAATAAATCTGCGTATAATGAGATGACGTGATCAGTAGATTGTAGGAATATTTCAGTTATTCCCTTCGGTTGACGAGTTGCCTGGGCCAGTAGTTCTATGGATAATAAAGATAGCAAAGGAGAAATTGGATCGCCTTGTCTACTGCTTCTTGTGATTCTCAACGGAGCAGAGCAGATATTGCCTGTTATAATTATGGCTGAGGGATTGGTATGTAGCATTTTAATCATACTAATGAAATCGGAGCCAATTCCCATATGTTCCAAGACAGACCAGAGACATGACCATTCTAGTCTATCAAAAGCTTTTTCTGCATTGAGAGATAAAACAGCCCAAGGAGCTGTTGTTTCTAATGAAGCTTTTAAGACATGTAATAATCAAGGATAAACTTCTTCTTTTTTTAAATCAAGGATAAACCCGCTTTGGACCAATTTGGGTAAGTAAATCTTGAGATGGGATGACAACGTTTTGGAAAACAGTTTAATATCTGTGTTTATCACAGATAGGGGCATGAGTAAGAACACTGGGTAGCATCCTTACATTTTTTATTTAAAAGGGAAATTAGTGCTTTATTTACATCTCACACAAATTAACACTGCTGTGTTAATCATTTCTAGCAATAGTGGACCTAATTGATTCCAACATTTAAATAGACCTCGGAAGGAATTCCATCCCATCCAGGTAATTAGCCTTTATTCATACTATCCTATGCCCTTTTGATTTCATTGAAAGAGATTTGGGCTCCCAGCGAGGTTGCTTCCCCTTTTGAGAGAAGAGTAGTTCTTAATTATTTTAGAAATGACAGTCTGGCTTGGTGTGGATTTACAAGCAGAAGTGTACAATTCTTTATAGAAGCGGGAGAACCTTGGATTGATTCAGATTCAATAGTTGCTATATCAGCTAATAGATCCTTACTGTGTAGCTTGTTGGCCAGTAAACAACTAGGACGATTACCATGGAAGTAATTGTTGAGTCTAACTCGATGGATGGCAAATTCTGCTCTCTGTCTTATCAATAAATTCAGTTCTGTCTTGGTAGTAATAGCTACCTGGTCTGAAAAGTGTGTTTGTTGAGAATGCTCGAACGGAGTTAACAACATTTCCAATTTTGATATCTTCTTTAATTGTGATTTATTCAACCCAAATGCAAATGCAGTTGCATTATTTTTCATAAAACCTTTGATAGCATCCCATAGAATCCAGGGGTCATCGACTGAATTTGTATTGATCATTATGAATTCATTTAGTACAATTTCAAATTGATCACAGAATGTAGGATTTTGTAACAATGAAACGTTGAAACGCCATCTTGTGACTTTTTTTTAAAGACATTCAAAAATGTGAAGTCGGCATTAGTAAGCATGGTTGTCAGACAAGCTCATATATCAAATTCAGTGGCAGTCAGTGACGTTTAAGATGAGGGAGGACCATTTTTTAAAATGAGCATGGCCTTATTTCTATTACAGCATATTGAATGACTGTCATTCATATTTGATTCACCGAGCTCAATATAACATTGATGGATTTAGGCTACTACATGATAGTCAAATATTCCCTATACGTATCATGAGGTTGCTACAACATAGCCTATGAATGAAAGTTTACAACGTAGGTGCAGATGTCGAGAGAAACATGTGAGTAATCAAGGTGACAGACAGCGACACATTCAATACACCCATGCACACTCTTGCCTTCATCTAGCTTATTTAGGGTGTAATCATTAGTCAAACAGTTGCAAACGAGAGTTTCTATTGGACAAATTCAGGTATGTTTATCCCCGTTTCGTTCCGTTTGCTTCTGTTTAAGAAAAGTTTTAACAGAATCGGCAGAATAAATGCACCCCTGATCACACGGGAACACAGTTCACTTTCAACTGCTAACCGCTACACACAGCCTACATCATATTAGCTAAAATCATAACTAGTCAACATACAGTTTACAGCCAAATACATTTAAACTCAGTTTTTCACAATTCCTGACATTTAATCTTAGTAAAAATTCCCTGTTTTAGGTCAGTTAGGATCACCACTTTATTTTAAGAATGTGAAATGTCAGAATAATACTAGAGAGAATGATTAATTTCAGCTTTTATTTCTTTCATCACATTCCAAGTGGGTCAGAAGTTTACATACACTCAATTAGTATTTGGTAGCATTGCCTTTAAATTGTTTAACTTGGGTCAAACGTTTTGGGTAACCTTCCACATGCTTCCCACAATAAGTTGGGTGAATTTTGGCCCATCCCTCCTGACAGAGCTGGTGTAACTGAGTCAGGTTTGTAGGCCTCCTTGCTCGCACACACTTTATCAGTTCTGCCCACACATTTTCTATAGGATTGAGGTCAGGGCTTTGTGATGGCCACTCCAATACCTTGGCTTTGTTGTCCTTAAGCCATTTTGCCACAACTTTGGAAGTATGTTTGGGGTCATTGTCCATTTAGAAGACCTATTTGCAACCAAACTTTAACTTCCTGACTGATGTCTTTAGATGTTGCTTCAATATATCCACATAATTTTCCTTCCACATGATGCCATCTATTTTGTGAAGTGCACCAGTCCCTTCTGCAGCAAAGCACCCCCACAGCATGATGCTGCCACCCCCGTGCTTCACGGTTGGGATGGTGTTCTTCGGCTTGCAAGGCACCCCCTTTTTCCTCCAAACATAACGATGGTCATTATGGCCAAACAGTTCTATTTTTGTTTAATCAGATCAGAGGACATTTCTCCAAAAAGAACGATCTTTGTCCCCATGTGCAGTTGCAAACCGTAGTCTGGCTTTTTTATGGGGGTTTTGGAGCAGTGGCTTCTTCCTTGCTGAGCAGCCTTTCATGTTTTGTCGATATAGGACTCGTTTTACTGTGGATATAGATACTTTTGTACTTGTTTCCTCCAGCATCTTCACAAGGTCCTTTGCTGTTGTTCTGGGATTGATTTGCACTTTTCTCACCAAAGTACGTTCATCTATAGGAGACAGATCGTGTCTCCTTCCTGAGCGGTATGACGGCTGCGTGGTCCCATGGTGTTTATACTTGCGTACTATTGTCTTTACAGATGAACGTGGTACCTTCAGGCGTTTGGAAATTGCTCCCAAGGATGAACCAGACTTGTGGAGGTCTACAATTTATTTTGAGGTCTTGGCTGATTTATTTAGATTTTCCCATGATGTCAAGCAAAGAGGCACTGAGTTTGAAGGTAGGCCTTGAAATACATCCACAGGTACACCTCCAATTGACTCATATGATGTTGTAAAGCCATGACATCATTTTCTGGAATTTTCCAAGCTGTTTAAAGGCACAGTCAACTTAGTGTATGTAAACTTCTGACCCACTGGAATTGTGATACAGTGAATTATAAGTGAAATAATCTGTCTGTAAACAATTGTTGGAAGAATTACTTGTGTCATGCACAAAGTATATGTCCTAACCGACTTGCCAAAACTATAGTTTGTTGACAAGAAATTTGTGGAGTGGTTGAAAAACAAGTTTTAATGACTCCAACCTAAGTGTATGTAAACTTCCGACTTCAACTTTAGCTACTAGAACTCACGCGTTAGCAAACCTGCTACAATCATGCAGTACAGTGTACAGTCAGCAAGCAGTTTAGCAGTTACACCGGCAGGCCCCGTTGGCAATAAATTAATTAAACCAAAAGCTTACCATGACTTGGAAGAATTACAGTGTTGGATAGCCATAGCCAGCTAACTAACATAGCATCCCTTTCTGTTTTAGCTGGGTGTGTGAGTACACTAAACTAGCTAGCTGTGTTTACTAGCTTCACCTTACTTTTTTAAGAAATTAATTTGTTCAAAACTGTTCAACTATTGTCTTTCTCTGACTTTGAGTCAACTACTCACCACAATTTATGCACTGTAGTGCTAGCTAGCTGTAGCTTATGTTTTCAGTACTAGAGTCATCCTCTGATCCTTTGAGTGGATGGACAACATGTCAGCTCATACTGCAAGAGCACTGATAGGTTGGAGGACCTCCTCCGGAAGTTGTCATAATTACTGTGTAAGTCCATGGAAGTGGGTGAGTACCATGATCCTCCTAGGTTTTGAATTGAAATCAATGTACCCAAAGGAGAACGGAAACTAGCTGCCCTCCGCCTACACCATGGTGCTACCCTACCATGGTGCTACCCTTTCCATTATGAATACATTTAAGCAAAGTGATTCTTCTTTCTTGGTCTTCACCTTTACCCAAGATAGTGATTTTGTGTTTCTTATGTATCATTATGATTACACCTTTAGTTTTGTTTGTGGCTGATGAACAAACAGGCAGTTTGCACAAATGGTTTCTTTATTCTATGTGTGTCCTTTAGGAACAGTTGTGTTTCTTGGAGCATTGCTATATCAATATGGTTTCTTGCTAGGATATCAAGGCTGCTGGAATATTTGATAGGACTATTAAGCCCTTTCAAATTCCAAGAGAATAGCTAGTGTTGCTATTTTTTAAATTTGTATTATGTATTATTCATAATGTAATTGTTATCTTTAATAAGCCCATGGATGTGAAACAAAAAACAGGACCCACAGGGAAACTCACCCATTGGTCGTTCCCCACGCAGAATCCCTCCCCTGTAAACCATTCCCCCCTTCCCTTAAGTAGTGTAAACGGAGGGGGACAACCATTAACAGAAACAAATAAAAAAGGAATTGTGTGGTAGCTGATATGGGACTGGCCATCTATCCAAAACAGTAGTACATTAAAAATAGTAGGGGAATAGCATCCAATTTATTTTGCCATATTTAGCCCACATTGGAATGGAAAGCGCTGTAGACCCACAAGGAAGCAACCCCAGTCTGTATGACACTTCAATATAATGTCCATTGTTCAGTAATTGGCGTGATGTCATCATTGTCTAAATGTCCTGGACCATAGGCAATATAATAAAAACGAAGGCAATGTTCAGCAATAATAATAATTTTAATAATAATAACAATAACAGTATTTTTTTCACAATAGATGGGGTGTCCTCATCATTGTCTTATGTTGAGGGCAGCATCACAGCCATAGGCTAGGTTGTGTGATTGTGCGTGGATAGCATAGCTGAATACTGAGCCAGTCAAATTGGGGTTAACCTAGATCTGTCGGCTTGTCCCCTTGTGTGTTGGGCTTGATGTGATTCTCAAAGGATTCTTGACCTCCTTGGAAATGGAAAATGTGTGTGTTGTATTCTGTAAGGTCAAAATACGTTTTGCCGGGTGGATGAAGCCACATCTCAGGTTTAGCTTGCGTAGCTGGGATCTCACCTCGTTGTAGGTCGCCCTCTGTTTCAACAGTTCGGCACTCAGATCTGGGTAGATGCTGATCCTCTTCTCCGCATAGGTCAGAGCCCCTGATTCTGCTGTGAGGCAAACAATTTGCCGTTGGACTTAAAAACTGTGGATAAGTACAGTCAAACACCGGGATACGTTATGGAGAGGACCTGTGCGTTTATCGGTGGCTTCGGACCCAGCTTCTACTGCCCAAACAGTTCATAGAAAAGATTGCTCATGAAAGAACTTGGGTTGCCCGCCTCCACACCAGTTTCAAGTCCTGTGACCGGCACACTGAATTTATGGGAATTATTTGAGTAATTCTGTTTTCTTTTTTAGGTTAATAATTTCCAGGTCATGGAGTCACCACTCTGTCACATTGGCCGCTGTCTCCAAACTTTCCACTTTATCTGAGTAGGTATCCACTTTAGAAGTGAACAGTGAAAGAAATGCATTTACCGGTTTTAATTGCAAGTCGAGGGCAACTCTTTCTGTTGTCGGGTGTTGATAGCCGCCATGTTCCCACAGGTGGATTGTTAACGGAGAGAATATGCCAGCTGCTGGAGCAAAAAATACTTGCTCTTGTTCCTTTAATACAGTGAACGTCCCAAACCTTAATATGGTGTTAAACACTGAGTATATCTTTCCATGACATAGACTGACCAGGTGAATCCAGGTGAAAGCTATGATCCCTTATTGATGTCACCTGTTAAATCCACTTCAATCCGTGTAGATAAAGGGGAGCAGACAGGTTCAAGGATTGTTAAGCCTCAGAGGGTGAATGGGCAAGACAAAAGATTTACAGTGCCTTCGGAAAGTATTCAGACCCCTTGACTTTTTACACATTTTGTTTCGTTACAGCCTTATTCTAAAAAGTATTACATTTGTCGTCCCCCCCCCCCCCCCCCCCCCCTCCCCCCTCATCAATCTACACACAATACCCCATAATGATGAAGCAAAAACAGGTTTTTAGACATTTTTGCAAATGTATTAAATATAGAAAACTGAAATATCATATTTATCATAAGTGTTCAGACCCTTTACTCAGTACTTTGTTGAAGCACCTTTGACAGCGATTACAGCATCAAGTGTTCTTGGGTATGAGCTACAAGCTTGGCACACCTGTATTTGGGGAGTTTCTCCCATTCTTCCCTGCAGATCCTCTCAAGCTCTGTCAGGTTGGGATGGGGAGTGTTGCTACACAGCTATTTTCAGGTCTCTCCAGAGATGTTAGATCGGGTTCAAGTCCGGGCTCTGGCTGGGCCACTCAAAGACATTCAGAGGCTTGTCCCGAAGCCTCTCCTGCATTGTCTTGGCTGTGTGCTTAGGGTCGTTGTCCTGTTGGAAGGTGAACCTTCGCCCCAGTCTGAGGTCCTGCGCACTCTGGAGCAGGTTTTCATCATGGATCTCTCTGTACTTTGCTCCGTTCATCTTTGTCGCGATCCTGACTAGTCTCCCAGTCCCTGCCGCTGAAAAACATCCACACAGCATTAATCTTGTTTCTCATGGTCTGAGAGCCTTTAGATGCCTTTTGACAAACTTCAAGCGGGCTGTCATGTACCTTTTACTGAGGAGTGGCTTCCGTCTGGCCACTCTACCATAAAGGCCTGATTGGTGGAGTACTGCAGAGATGGTTGTCGTTCTGGAAGGTTCTCCCATCTCCACAGAGGAACTCTAGAGCTCTGTAAGAGTGATCGGGTTCTTGGTCACCTCCCTGACCAAGGCCCTTCTCCCTCGATTGCTCAGTTTGGCTGGGCGGCCAGCTCTAGGAAGAGTCTTGGTGGTTCCAAACTTCTTCCATTAAAGAATGATGGAGGCCACTGTGTTCTTGGGGACCTGCAATGCTTCAGACATTTTTTGGTACCTGTCTCGGAGCTCTATGGACAATTCCTTCAACCTCATGGCTTGTTTTTTGCTCTGACATGCACTGTCAACTGTGGGACCTTATATAGACAGGTGTGTGCCTTTCCAAATCATGTCCAATCAATTGAATTTACCACAGCTGGACTCCAATCAACTTGTAGAAACATCTCAAGGATGATCAATGGAAACAGGATGCACCTGAGCTCAATTTCGAGTCTCATATCAAAGGGTCTGAATACATAAGTAAATAAGGTATTTCTGTTTAAAAAATGTAATAAATGTGCCAAAAAATTCTAAAAAACTGTTTTCACTGGGTCATTATGGGGTATTGTGTGTAGATTGCTGAGAATTGTTATTTATTTCATCAATTGTAGAATAAGGCTCTAACATACCAAAATGTGGAAAAAGCCAAGGGGTCTCAATACTTTCCGAAAGCACTGTAAGTGCCTTTGAACAGGGTATGGTAGTATTTGTATTAGCGATCCCCATTAGCTACTGCCAAGGCAGCAGCTACTCTTCCTGGAGTCCAAACACATTAAGGCACCTACGTTACACATAAAACAAAATATAAAACAGTACATCATATAACGTTATTACGCCACTACATATCTACAATACAAAATGTATAATACCACCATACAACAATATTACAATGTCTGCGTATGTCTGTACCTGTGTGTGTGTCTCTCTTCACAGTCCCCGCAATTCCATAAGATGTTTTTTTAACTGTTTTTTAAATCTGATTCTACTGCTTGCATCAGTTACCTGATGTGGAATAGAGTTCCATGTAGTCATGGCTCTATGTGGTACTGTGCACCTCTCAAAGTCTGTTCTGGATTGTGAAGATACCTCTGGTGGCAGATCTTGTGGGGTATGCATGGGTGTCCGAGCTGTTTGCTAGTAGTTTAAACAGACAGCTCGGTGCATTCAGCTTGTCAACACTTTTTCCAAAGTAAGTAGTGATGAAGTCAATCTCTCCTCCACTTTGAGTCATGAGCGATTGACTTGCATATCATTAATGTTAGCTCCCCATGTATATTTACAGGCCAGCTGTGCTGCCATGTTCTGAGCCAATTGTAATTTTCCTAAGTCCCTCTTTGTGGCACCTGACCACACGACTGAACAGTAGTCCAGCTGCGACAAAACTAGGGCCTTTATGACCTGCCTTGTTGATAGTGTTGTTAAGAAAGCCAGAGTAGAGCTTTATTATGGACAGACTTCTCCCCATCTTAGCTACTGTTGAATCAATGTGTTTTGACCATGACAGTTTACAATCCAGGGTTACTCCAAGCAGTTTAGTCACCTCAACTTGCTCAATTTTCACATTATTCATTACAAGATTTAGTTTAGGTTTCGAGTTTAGTGAATGATTTGTCCCAAATAATGTCAAAAGCCGCACTGAAGTCTAACAAAACAGCCCCCACAATCTTTATATCATCAGTTTCTCTCAGCCAATCATCAGTCATTTGTGTAAGTGCTGTGGTTGTTGAATATTCTTTCCCTATAACCGTGCTGAAAGTCTGTGGTCTGTTTACTGTAAAATAGCGTTGTATCTGGTCAAACACATTTTTTCCCAAAACTTTACTAAGGGTTGGTAACAGGCTGATTGGTCGGGTATTCGAGCCAGTAAAGGGGCATTACTATTCTTAGGTGGTGGAATGACTTTTGCTTCCATCCAGGCCTGAGGGCACACACTTTCTAGTAGGCTTACATTGAAGACATGGCAAATAGAAGTGGCAGAAGCACTTGTTTGTGTCAAGGTTTTTCACGCTCAACAGTTTCCTGTGTGTATCAAGAATGGTCCACCACCTAAAGGATATCCAGCCAACTTGACACAACTGTAGGAAGCATTGGAGTCAACATGGGCCAGCATCCCTGTGGAACGCTTTCAATACCTTGTAGAGTCCATGCCCGACAAATTGAGGTTGTTCTGAGGGCGGGGGGGGCAACTCAATATTAGAAATGTGTTCCTAATGTTTGGTATACTCAGTGTATGTTAACAATTATTTGAAAATAAGACTGTTAATTCATAGTTATTTTGCACAAAAAAAGCAACGAGAAAGCCACGCATTTCATTGCATGAACATGCTGTATCTATCGCTCTTGTAATAATTTGGAATCAGCTGCGAAGGGCTGCTTGAATTCAGATGGGAGACAAAGTTGTGGTGTTGTATTTTTGCATTTACGTCTTGCTCAGGTGGTAGGAATATTAGGGTGATGTCGGCGTAAATGTGTCAGCATTTTTGAGGTATTGGCAGCTGCACGGGCTATTGTCGTTGAGCAGTGGCAACACTCTCTGTCCATTGCCGTTATAATCTACTGGGAGGCTAAAATGTTCCCAAACTGGAGATTTAAACGAAGATGGAGAATCCTCTTGGTTTTTCGACCCCACCACTCGCCATCTTACAGAACTAGTTCCCGGCAGCGCCTCGCAAAAGGACAGTTTGAATTTTGATTGCAACGTGCACATAGGCTCTAGTTGTTTTAATGGAATAGCCTGAAATGTATTTTTTTCAGCTCAGATTCACTCAAGAGGCATACAATGCAGTGTAGACATAGCCTATAGGCCTAGTGTTTTTATTTTTGATATACACTACCAGTTAAAGTTTGGACACACATTCAAGGGTTTTTCTTTCTTTGTACTATTTTTTACATTGTAGAATAATAGTGAAGACATCAAAACTATGAAATAACACATATGGAATCATATAACCAAAAAAGTGTTAAACAAATCAAAATATATTTTATATTTGAGATTCTTCAAATAGCCACCCTTTGCATTGATGACAGGTTTGCACACTCTTGGCATTCTCTCAACCAGCTTCACTTGAAATGCTTTTCCAACAGTCTTGAAGGAGTTCCCATATATGCAGAGCACTTATTTGCTGCTTTTCCTTCACTCTGCGGTCCGACTCATCCCAAACCATCTCAATTAGGTTGAGGTCGGGAGATTCTGGAAGCCAGGTCATCTGATGCAGCACTCCAGCACTCTCCTTCTTGGTCAAATAGCCCTTACACAGCCTGGAGGTGTTTTTTTTCATTGTCCTGTTGAAAAACAAATGATAGTCCCACTAAGCCCAAACCAGATGGGATGGCGTATTGCTGCAGATGCTGTGGTAGCCATGCTGGATAAGTGTGCCTTGAATTCTAAATAAATCACACACAGTATCACCAGCAAAGCACCCCCACACCATAACACCTCCTCCTCCATGCTTTACGGTTGGAAATACACATGCAGAGATCATCCGTTCACCCACACCGCGTCTCACAAAGACACGGCAGTTGGAACCAAAAATCTCCAATTTGGACTCCAGACCAATGGACAAATTTCCACGGTCTAATGTCCATTGCTTGTGTTTATTGGCCCAAGCAAGTCTCTTCTTCTTATTGGTGTCCTTTAGTAGTGGTTTCTTTGCAGCAATTCAACCATGAAGGCCTGATTCACACAGTCTCCTCTCAACAGTTGATGTTGAGATGTGTCGGTTACTTGAACTCTGTGAGGCATTTATTTGGGCTGCAATTTCTGAGGCTGGTAACTCTAATGAACTTATCCTTTGGAGCAGAGGTAACTCTGGGTCTTCCATTCCCGTGGCGGTCCTCATGAGAGCCAGTTTCATCATAGCGCTTGATGGTTTTTGCGACTGCACTTGAAGAAACTTTCAAAGTTCTTGAAATGTTCCGTATTGACTGACCTTCAAACTTTTGACTGGCACTGTATATATTTTTTATGTATTCGGGGTCACAGTGCGGACTGAACTGAGGTCCTGATACCGAACGGTTCGGTACGAATACGTGTACACCCCTACTGTATAATCATATATTGTTGCCCTATTATGTTGTATAAACTTTAGAAACTGGAAGTCCTGCCTATTACATCTGTGAGAGTGCATTGAAGTATTTTGGAACGTTATGGTGAAGTGTACCAACTAAAATTTCAATCAACATGGTAATGCTTTCACTGATTGCACATAGAGGAAGATAGTTCCTATATGGTAGAGTCCTTGCTTTGTTATCCACCTGAACCCCGTTCATTGCTGCTCGCAGCTATATATTTATTATGTATTATTTGTCCTGGGTTTCTGTCAGCTCAGAGGCTACTATGAAGTGAATATTAATGTCAGCTTTTTAAAATAAAAGCATGAGCTTTATTATCATTTCTTTATTATAATTTCTTTATTATCATTTCATCCCCACATTGTTTAGTAACAAGGCATTTTTAACTAATTTACTTTCCTTTTCTCAAATTTTAATCATATTCAAAATGTCTTGGTTGCTAACAGTAAGTTATTTTTTCCCACTCTGCAGGCCAGCATCCAATCCTTATCCCCCTTTCGACCGTCAGCGACGCTGGGTCTCCATAGCAATGCCTGTCTATCTCCCACCCTCTGCCTGGCCCTGTTTCTGGTTGCTGTGGCTCACTGACCACAAACTATTATGGGGTGGCGATTGCATCATGGGCGCTATGTATTCTTCCTGGTTCTGGAAGAGCGAGGGTAAGTGCTAGTAGGGGACTGTTCACATCACCACATCACCTTGACGACCTAGCTACTCCAGCATTGTGTGAATGTGGACATAGGCATGTACAGATTTTCCCTAAAGAGAAATACATCTACCCCTACAGATATGTCCAATTATTATAATCCACATAAGAATTCACACCAGTTACGCTGTAGCCTGCACGTAGCCTACATAGGCTACTTGAACTGGCGCCCAGTGGACCTGCAGTCTAAGCTACCATGTACATGTAGGTACGGTACTGCATTGTATATAAACACCACTTCCAGCTGCTCCCTGGTGGTGATTCTAAATATTTCTTCAGATATTCAAGTCCTCCTGCTGCAGGATTATTTTCCTCCTGCGACAAAACTGGTCAAATTAAGATCAGACATGTGTAGTGGAATGGGTCTGGGAGGATTAATACGCTGTAATACACCCTAGGGAAGGGCCTATCCCAGGCTTTAGCCGTTAGCTTATCAAGCCTCCACACCTGCCTGTTGCTGTAGTAGGAAGAGGCTATATGCTTCTTATCCCATTATCTCTCTATGTGAGAAGAAGCTCAGCGCTTATGGCATATTTAGACTAAACCAGAGTCACAGTATACAGGGTTATAAGGTTAGGAGGACTGAGCTCACACACAGGAGGGGCTGGTGGTTCCTTTGTCAGCATGCAGCACATGATTAGGCCTATAACAGAGACCACAGAGTGGATAAAGAAAGGGAGAGAGTCTAATACCAAAACACAGTAGATTCTGTGGCTGTGAAATCAATGAGCAATATAGGTAGCCATTTTGTGTCCTTCTTCTTTGAGATTTATAACATGAAAATGCCCACTACAATAGAGGCTTTATAAAATAATAACTGCAGGGTGCCATTTAGCTATTAATTGGTGCAATTTGGAAAAGTCAAAAAAGACTTTTAAAAGGATGGGCATTAAGATAAGTTCCTGTTTCTACATTGCTTAGTGTTGCACAAAGTGGTGATGTCAACATAACATTGCCCATCGGAGGAGAGGTGTATCCAGTGGTAAAAATAATACTTAGAGCTTTAAGAACTGAAAGTGATACTGTACGAGAGAGAAAGAAAGTGGACAAGAGAGTGAGATAGGGAGAGAGGAGGGAGAAAGAAAGAGACAGAGAGAGAAAACTTAGAGAGGGTGAAAGGAGGGAGAGATAGAAAGAGAGAGAGGGTGAAAGGAGAGGGTATGGGGTATCCATGTGCTGGCACCAAGCTTCACCATTAGTCTAAGTTCAAATCTTGGAGCCATCACAACTGCAACCATTCTATTAATTCACTACTCGTCGAATGAGCCAGGGGTATTTACCTTTGATTTTCCTCTGGTGCAAGAACCGTTGCACGATGACATTATCATATATCGCGGTACAGTATACTGTGACATTCACTTTACTTGAAAACTGTGTGTCCCAAATGGCACCCTATTCCCTATATAGTGCACTACTTTTGACGAGGGCCCATATGGCTCTGGTCAAAAGTAGTGCACTATGTAGAAAATAGGGTACCATTTGGGACATGCACATAGCCTCCGCCACCCGCACGTGGCTGGTAACAAGAGCACTTGAAAATTCAACCAACATGCCAGCAAGCACTCAGTGAGCTCCAATTGGTGTAAAGTGTCACAGCAGATGTTCGCTATAGGTCATTCATGTGCTCTGACCCTCAAGGCCCATGGGTTTGAATACTCCTGTTATAGGTCATAGGTCATCCATATGGTAAGAAGGCCAAGAAGATCATCAAGGACCTTAGCCACCCGAGCCACAGCCTGTTCACCCCATTACCATCTAGAAGGTGGAGACAGTACAGGTGCATCAAAGCTGGGACCGAGAGACTGATAAACAGCTTCTATCCCCAGTCCATCAGACTCTTAAGCAGCCACCACTAGACGGCCTCTGTCCAGTACCCTGCCCTCTGCCCAGTACCCTACTCTGCCCCTTAGTCACTAGCCGGCTACCACCGGGTACTCTACCCTGCACCTTAGGGACTGAACACTGGTCACTTTAAAAAGGTTTTATCCTGTATATCTACTGCTGTACTAAATGTTTTATTTTTTATAATTTTTTATTATTGTGTGCTTATTTGACATTTACTGCATTGATTGAACATAAGAATGTCGCTGCACCTGCCATAACACCTGCTAAGTGTGTACGTGACCAATAAAATGTGATTTACAAACTTGTCTTCAGGCAGTGCCAGTCTTTAAGGAGTGGGGTAGCCTCACTCCCTTTGTATTTTTCTGAATACATTAGATAGAGAGAAAAGTAGATAGGAGGAAAGAAAAAGTGCTGGCGTAGTGGGTCGGATTCAAACTCATGCTCACAATGGTAGTACACTGCACAGTACATGTTATCCAGAGGCAGCGGCTTAGACCACTGAAGACCCCCCAGGCCACAGTGTGCCAGTTTTGACTCAGAGTCTGACGACTGTCAATCTATCTGTTGCTCCAAACAAGAGCTGGACTTTATACTGAGGACTGCCTGTGAATGGCCAAAGGATCTGGGTCAAAGTCTTGCCTATTTGCCGCCCGCTAATTTGTATATCTGCTGTGCGTCATAAAAGACACCTGACAAGACTTTATGACACCGCTTGTTGTTGACATGAAAGCGATGAGAGACTGGCACAGTTCAAATAGTCGTCATATCATTCCATTCAAATCATTTTAGATCAGTGATTTCTGTAAGGATGGGAGGGAAGAAGGAAGAATGCATTTTAGAACAGGGCCTCAGTCTTTAGCCTGATCCCAAATCTGTTTGTGCTCTTGCCAAATCCATTTGTCATTGTCAAGCCAAACATGACAATGAATGAGTAACAAGGAGTTGGCATGACAGCACTCAGGCTACTCAATCTTCAACTCTGTCCATATTTGCTGTGTAATCATAATAAATGCACAGTCTGTAATGTCAAGTGACCACAGGTCTTAAACGTGTCTCCCAAGAAGGTACTAGGTGTTCAACAATGGGCTATTATCCCAAAGGAAACAGCACTGTGTATGCCATATCAATGTAAATATGGCTCAGTCCCCATAGAGGGGAAAGTTAGGATTAGGGTGCAGGGTAATCAATCGCACGAGACACTTGGGCATGGCTGCTAGAGTTCTTTAAAAGGATACATTCCATGGCTACCGTTATTTAATTACCTGAGAAAAGTTATTCAAAAATGTCTGCTGGCATAAACTCAGTGCAGAACTATGATTAAGCAGCCACACATCAAACCAAGTGGTCTTGTGCAGGAAAGCTAATGAACTACCATTACTAAGATACATTGCAACTCAGATGGGCATGGCTCTTGGCACAATCTAGTCCTTTTTTGATTGAGTCTGAGCACATATAGCAAGCTCTTCATATGTCAGTTTGTGGCAGTCCCAGTTGAAATAAAACAATTTAGCAAATTAGTAAAATATATTATATTAGTCAACTTTAGTGGATTGGTACACAGCTTAGACATACTGGCAAAAGAAGCTGGATAATAATCAAGACCTTCCATAATAAGGACATGTTGTATTTTTAGACAGTTGCCTAGTTGGCCATTTCACAAATGTATCCTATGAATAATAATCAGCTTATTTACCATTGGGTCTAGGGCCTATTACTAGTCTTATTCAAAATGTTTAGCATAAACAATTACAATGCTTAATACAGCAACAGGCTGTATACAGATTGAGGTAGAGCAGTAGACTATTCAGAGCAAGATGCATTGCCTCTAGGATACCCTAATTACCACTATTACTGTACATCTAACCTTTTCGCTGGTTATGACCAGGCTGGAGTTGCCCGAATGAAACACGCACCGTAAAGAAACACGCACTGCTCTGTATCAAGAGCCTCATCTTCTCACACACTTCCAAATTCAAAGACTTGCGCAACTGGAGGAAATGTGTGTGTTTTGAACATATGCCTACATTTACAACAATTTGTGATAACCTAGTTTTCTGTCATCCGTTTCCTGGAAACCAATCACTGAATAAGCTTAAGAAACGGCTAGCTAATTGATAAATGTGACACACAACTCTCTGTGAGCGCAAGGCATCTCCATCACTTATAACACTGTAGCAATAAGTAAGCAGAGTATACTTCTGAAGTTCAAGTCCACCTAGTCAACCTCAAGTCAGCATAGAGCTATCAGCTGTAAAACATGACCATTGATCATGCCCTTACAAAACTTTAATATTTCACTTCATAAACCAACTACTGCAGGTCATTATTCCCAAAGTATCACCAAAACACACTACATCTTTGACAACGTTTTCCCATTACGCCTACTTGATCACAAAATCCGATGTTGTCTCACCTTGAAGGTTTAGTTTAGCGAAAGTGATGTGGAAACAACACTGAAAAGCGAGTTGGAATGTCTTTGGCTGGTGTCTTCTTCCCTGGCTGGATGCAGCTTTTCTGCGGCACTGGCGCGTGTGGGGGAGGTTCCCGGTATTTAAGCAGCAGAGCGATGCATGGTAGACGCTGCATGATTACATATGACACACTGGGAGGGTCCCCAGTGTCTCGTGTTAAATGTCATGTCCATGCCGACCAAATGTGCTATGGGATGGAGAAGCCACTCACTGTGGCACACGGAACGGGGCGGGGTCAGCTGTGGGCAGGCTCGCCATCCCCACCCACAACATGTTTTCATTTGCGGAAGCTTTCCAGACAGACAAAGCGATGGGCAGAGCGGGGTTCATATATAGAAATAAATATTAATGGTGTCTTTTTGTAGGCGTCTTTTTGAACGACTAGCACACAGCTCAGACACCCATGCATACCGTACAAGACATGCCACTAAGGGTCTCTTCACAGTCCCCAAGTCCAGAACGGACTCTAAAAAACGTACAGTGCTACACAGCGCCATGACTACATGGAACTCTATTCCACATCAAGTAACTCATGCAAGCAGTAAAATCTGATTAAAAAGAAACCGGATAAAACTACACCTTATGGAACAATGCGGACTGTGAGGAGAAAAACACACACAAACATCCATATGCACACACACACATCAGGACACAAACTCTAGACACACTTATGTAAGGTGGTATAATAAATGTCGTTTTTTAGATATGTAGTGGTATAATAATGTTATGTCTACCGTTTTATTTTATTGTAATTTCTACCTTAATTTGTTTGGACTCCTTAATAAATGAATGAAATTAAAAATTGTAGGCACTAACTCTGCCATAATTCGTTGGACAAAGCCTATGTGGAAATTAATAGCGTTTTTGTAAGGTTTTTGGATAAACGCAGAAAATAAGGTCTGTGGTAAACACAGGCTTAGGAGATTTTATGTTTTTTTCTACCTAATTGTGTGGTTGTGGTCAGTAGCTGTGGTCAGTAGATGTTGTCAGCAGTCATGGCCAGCAGGTGTGTTGTTGTGTGGTCAGTAGATGTGTGCTTGTGGTTAGTAGTTATTTGGTTGTAGTCAGTAGTTGTGCTCAGTAGTTGTGGTCGGTAGTTGTGTGGTTGTGGTCAGTAGTTGTGGTCGGTAGTTGTGTGGTTGTGGTCAGTAGTTGTCGTCAGTAGTTGTGGTGAGGAATTATGTTCAGTAGTTGCGGCCATTAGTTATGGTCAGTAGTTGTGTTGTTGTGATCAGTAGTTATGTGGTTGTGGTCAGTAGTTGTGGTCAGTAGTTGTGTGGTTCAGCAGTTGTGTGGTCAATATTTGTGTGGTTGTGGTCAGTAGTTGTGTGATTGTGGCCAGTTGTTGTGGTCAGTGAATGTGGTCAGTAGTTGTGGGGTTGTGGTCAGTAGTTATGATCATTAATTGTGGTCAGTAGTGGTCAGTAGTTGTGGTCAGTAGTTGTGTGGTCAGTAGTAGTGTAGATGTTGTTAGTAGTTATGGTCAGTAGTTGTAGTCAGTAGTTGTAGTCAGTAGTTGTGGTCGGTAGTTGTGTGATCAATAGGTGTCTGGTTGTGGTCAGTAGTTGTGGTCAGTAGTTGGGGTCAGTAGTTGTGGTCAGAAGTTGTAGCCAGAAGTTGTGGTCAGTAGTGATCAGTAGTTGTGTGCTTCAGTAGTTGTGGTTAGTGTTGTGGTCAATAGTGGTCAGTAATTGTGGTCAGTAGTTGTGTGGTTATGGTCAGTAGTTGTGGTCAGTAGTTGTTTGGTTGTGGTCAGTAGTTGTGTGGTTCAGTAGTTGTGTATTTCAGTAGTTGTGTGGTTAATATTTGTGTGGTTGTGGTCAGTAGTTGTGTGGTTGTGGTCAGTAGTTGTGGTCAGTATTGATCAGTAGATGTGTGCTTTAGTAGTTTTGGTTAGTAGTTGTGGTCAGTAGTGGTCAGTAGTTGTGTGGTTGTGGTCATTAGTTGTGGTCAGTAGTTGTAGTCAGGAGTTGTGTTCGTTAGTTATGGTCAGTAATTATGTTGTTGTGGTTAGTAGTTGTGTGGTCAGTAATTGTGTGGTTGTATTCAGTAGTTGTGGTCAGTAGTTGTGTGGTTGCGGTCAGTAGTTGTGTGGTTCAGCAGTTGTGTGGTCAATATTTGTGTGGTTGTGGTCAGTAGTTGTGTGGTTGTGGCCAGTAGTTGTGGTCAGTGAATGTGGTCAGTAGTAGTGTAGATGTTGTGGTCAGTAGTTGTAGTCAGTAGTTGTGGTCGGTAGTTGTGTGGTCAATAGCTGTATGGTTGTGGTCAGTAGTTGTGGTCAGTAGTTGGGGTCAGTAGTTGTGGTCAGAAGTTGTAGCCAGAAGTTGTGGTCAGTAGTGATCAGTAGTGATCAGTAGTTGTGTGCTTCAGTAGTTGTGGTTAGTGTTGTGGTCAGTAGTGGTCAGTAATTGTGGTCAGTGGTTGTGGTCAGTAGTTATAGTCAGGAGTTGTGGACAGTAGTTGTGGTCGGTAGTTGTGTGGTCTGTAGTTGTGTGGTTGTGGTCAGTAGTTATGGTCAGTGGTTGTGTTGTTGTGGTCAGTAGTTGTGTGGTCAGTAAGTGTGTGGTTGCTGTCAGTAGTTCTGTGTTGGTGGTCTGTAGTTGTGGTCAGTAGTTGTGTGGTTGTGGTCAGTAGTTGTGTTCAGTAGTGATCAGTAGATGTGTGCTTCAGTAGTTTTGGTTAGTAGTTGTGTGGTCAGCAGTTGTGTGGTTGTGGTCAGTAGTTGTGGACAGTAGTTGTAGTCAGGAGTTGTGGACAGTAGTTGTAGTCAGGAGTTGTGTTCGTTAGTTGTGGTTGTGTGGTCAGTGGTTGTGTGGTCTGTTGTTTTGTGGTTGTGGTCAGTAGTTATGGTCAGTAGTTGTGTGGTTGTGGTCAGTAGTTGTGGTGAGTTATGGTCATTAGTTATGGTCAGTAATTGTGTTGTTGTGGTCAGTAGTTGTGTGGTTGTGGTCTGTAGTTGTGTTCAGTAGATGTAGTCAGTAGTTGTGGACAGTAGTTCTGGTCGGTAGTTGTGTGGTCAGTAGTTGTGTGGTTGTGGTCAGTAGTTGGGGTCAGTAGTAGGGGTCAGTAGTTGTGGTCAGTAGTGATCAGTACTACTGACTATCCAGTAGTAAGGGTAGGTAACAACACATCTGGGGTAGGTAACAACACATCTGCCACACTGATCCTCAACACGGGGGCCCCTCAGGGGTGCTTCCCCTCCTGTACTCCCTGTTCACCCATGATTGCATGGCCAGGCCCGACTCCAACACCATCATTAAGATTGCCGACGACACAACAGTGGTAGGCCTGATCACTGACAACGATGAGACAGCCTATAGGGAGGAGGTCAGAGACCTGGCCGTGTGGTGCCAGGATAACAACCACTCCCTCAACGTGATCAAGACAAAGGAGATGATTGTGGACTACAGGAAAAGACAGACCGAGCACGCCCCCATTCTGATCGACGGGGCTGTAGTGGATTATGTTGAGAGCTTCAAGTTCCTGTGTCCACATCACCAACAAACGATCATGGTCCAAACACACCAAGACAGTCGTGAAGAGGGCACGACAAAGCCTATTCCCCATAAAATACTTGCTGGTACCAAAATAGGAATGAATGATCAGTACCCGAGGGAGATTGCAGAACGGCGTAAAGTTCTGTACCCAATCTTCAAGGAAAATAGATTAAACTGTATATTGACAACCAAATGTACCGCGACACAAAGACTACTCCATGGCTTCTGAAAGTTCTAATA